ATTAAGACAAAGTTTGGACATAATCAAGACTCTTTATATAGGAGAACACAAGTTGGTCTTAAAGATAAGATGAGGGCAGAATTAAAATATAAAATAAGACATAAATTACCACTTGGTGTATTTAGTAAGGTTAAGTAAGTAGTATATTTGCTTGAATGTTAAATGCATTTTAAATATTAATTAATTATGTACATTTTTATTTAGTATTTATAAATACTTTAAACCTTAAAATTTTATTCTAAAAAAAATTTTTTTAAATAAAAAATGTAATAACTTGTGGTGGAAGGGTTAGTCGTAACAGTTTTGCAGGCATATAATCTAGAGTGTAGAAGTTTTATATTGTATTTTGTTATTGAGTATACTATACTGTATATAACTACCATATATTCCTAAAAATAAGCTACCATTTTTGGAAGAAAAATTATACAAAAATATTGGGATAGCTTATTTTTGGGTAAAAACAGATTTTGTTCGATTGCGAAAAATTTTACTAAATAAATTGGTATAGCTTATTAAGTGAAAGTTATTCAAGAGATCAAAATACATATATTATAAAAATTTAATATAAATTAGATAACTTTTTATTAATTGACTTTTGATTTTTATGTTCAACAAATATAAATTTTAAAGAAAATTTAAAAAATTCATCGAATGTAACATGCAAAAGTCAATTAATAAAAAGTTATTCAATTTATATAAAATTTTTAGAATATGTGTATTTTGATCTCTTTAATAACTTTTACTTAATAAGTCATGTCGATTTACTTAGTAAAATTTCGACTTTACTATAGAGTAACTACTGATAATCGTATAAGTAGCTTATTTTTGAACAATAAAAGTTTTTACATTTTTCTTTCAAAAAAGAAAGGTAGCTTATTTTTGGAGTGCTTATTTTTGGGAATATACAGTATAATATGTATTTGTATAGTACACCTTTTCATTATATAAAATGTAAATGAGTATTATATTAAATAAAAATTATAAACTATAGTACAGTACAGTATAGTACAGTACATTAAGCCTTTAATATTATTACCAGAAGTAATTTAAAATTACTATAAAGAAAAACTCTATTATTGAGGATTCAGGTTTATTGCTTACTGGACTCACTAATTTGTTAGAATCGTGACTAGTAAATTATATAATTTTAAATAATTTATTATATAGATAGCAATAAAAGTTTTATTTTAAAAATGTAATTAATTATACATGTCTTATATTCAAATTTGCATTATATATATTATTATATATTGATATAACTATTTGCAAAGTGCATATTGATTAAAAGTTCGATTATACAAAAGTTTTTAAAGTTTCTCTTATATCATGCTTTTTTTTCAACTTATTATTTTATCCTTTTGACTTACAAGCTTTTCATACTTAATTCTTAAAAGCCTCTTTTGTTCTTTAATATTAATAAATTCACTTACAATTAGAGTTTTAAAATTTTTAATAACAGAGGTTTAATTAGAATGCTTGTCTTTGCTTCTAAATTTATTTGGTAGTATACTGTATATTTATTTACAAAAAAATAATATATTATATAACTTACTGGTTTTTTTAATAAGTTCAATAGTGATTAATCTTAGTAAGTTTCTGATATATATATTTTTTTTTAATTCATGTAATAATGAAAGTAGCGAATTTAAAAGTTATAACATCTGGAATTTTATTTTAAAAATTTTTTCAATAAAATGAATTGTAAAACTTGACAAATAATATAAAATTGTCAAATATAAAAAAAAATCTTTACTTTCTAAACACAATTAATATAAATTTTAAAATTTTATATTTATATGTCTAGAGTTTATTATAAAGAAGTTCATTATTATAAGCTTTAACTAAAATTTAATTTATAAACAAATCTGTATTCATGAACCAAATTAGCACAGATAAATAATTCGAACAAAACTATAAAATATTAGAGTTAGATAACAAAATAAACCAGTCTGTCAAAATACAGCTTATTTCTTTACAGTAAATTTTTGATATAATAAAAAGTTTTGAATTGTAGAATTATTAAATTTAGTAAAATATGGTTAGTTTTTTCCTAACTTGAGAACTTCATTATAGTAAGTAAGTTGTAATTGTATTTTTTTATATTCCTATATACGAAACAACCGTAATTTTTTGTTAAAATACTTAGCAAACGAATATAAAAAAAAATTGTATACAGATAAATAGTTCTTATAGTAACAATTTTTAAAAATCTATTGTAGAAGTAATTTACTATATTCTTATACTAACTCTATAATAAAATTTTAAAAAAAGTTTATTATCAGTCAACCGATTTGTTATATATATTTGTATCTAAATTTTTTATATATATTATTCTTTAAACTATAGGTTTTTCTAGACAAATTTGCCTGGAAAATTATCATAAATATAGTTATTATCTACTTTTTTTTAAATTTTAATATATTCAAATAAATTTTTTTTGATAATATTTAAAAATAAAGATTATATTATAGTAGTATTTAATTTTATATTATAAGAAAAAGTCTTAGTTACTTATAAGATA